GCACCTTCTCATGGGAAAGGAAGCCTCTTTCAAACATCATGTTGCATGCCGAAAGGTACGTGTGGGCAGCCATGACGTTGCAGGAATCCCTTGGTTGCTCTCCCATTTCCGGTTGAGCATACGTTTGAAGCTCAGCTGGGACACGTTCTTGCTGGAAATTTTATGAAAAATTCATATTGGTACTTTGTACAGTGGAACCCCGATTTTACGCGACCCGATTTTTAAAACGCGAATTCGGATATAATGCCATGAGTCGTTGGACCCCCTTTTTCGCTCTTATATAGCCACGTCTATATGTAACCCCAGTTTAGTGCAACCCCACTATTCCAAGATGACATTGTATGGACCCCAACCATCGCGTTATGTACCAGGGGCTACACTGTATTTCGACCACGTTACATCTATCTCGAAGTACATCATGAGAGAAACTATAAACTTTTAAATTTTACATTTAACCACACATTTTTGTTGTATAATAGTCTGCTATCATAGAACACTGAAAATGTCCACGTTGTGAAAATCTAAATGTACCTGCATTATCTTAGCTGGGCGAACATTCAATTTCGTCCACGCATCTCTGTTGATGTAGCTCTTCTGGAGACCTGGAACCATTCTCAGTGTATTTCTATCTCGCCTTTCGACTTCACGTTTGTACATGTCCTCGACGGCCTGCCACCCAAAATGGGTTTGCTTCATCTCGCCAGTCTCAACCTGAACGAACGATTTCGTTCCTTGTGGACGTGAAGCGTAAAGCGCATTGATCATATTCTTCAGCTGAAAAATGTTAGAAATCTTGGTTTTACATGTATCATTTATGACTTAAATTCAGTGACATTAAATAGAACACTTATTATGTTAGCACCCACAATAAGTTATGACAAATTCTCAAGCTTCAGCCCACCTGGTGTGAAGGACATATGACGATGTGCACCATTGCTTGTGGCCGGAATGGGTTGTTGAACATTGGAGCATCTATATTCTTTTTGAAGGGTCCTCTCCTTCCCGTACAGAGAAATTTGGCAGCAGCCATGTTGGGACTGGCACCATCACACACAATGCAGATGAGATGATGTGAAATTTGTGTGCCTCGAATATCCGCATTGTTTCGGTCAGTGTTGCAATGATGAATTTGTATTCAAGCGCAGCTTCAGTTGCATAATAGGGCCCAATAACGTCGAACGCTGATGTGAGGTCTCGCCATATGAACTGTAAGATGTACTGTGCTGGAATCAGTTTCTGGTGAGGGTCCAATGTTTGATAGATGTCATGTAGACTGCTGAATTCATTGTGGGTGAGGGAAACTCCGTATATTTTGTGATTTTTGCTGTTCCACATTAACTTTCCTATAACCTTCACCTCGTCGAGTATTAAGACTCCTTCTCCATTTTATAAAGATGCCAACTCCACAATTATCCAAAACGGCCACTTTACACAATTTTTTAAACTAGGCCGAGGATGTAGACAAGGAGACCCCCCTTTCACCCTACATTTTTATTCTTTGTGTAGAAATACTAGCAATAGCCATTCGAAACAACCCACACATTAAGGGTATTAAAATAGGAGATACAGAATACAAACTTTCACAATTCGCAGATGACACAACACTCCTCCTAGACGATGACGAAGAAACTATTATAGCAGTCAAAAATACATTTAATTGGTTCTATTTGATATCCGGATTAAAAATTAATTATGATAAAACAAATCTAGTATGGATAGGCTCAATGAAAGAATCTGAATGGATCCAAAATGACAGCTTTACCATTCTAGGTATAACGTTTAATACAACAATGACGAAAATGGAAGAAGAAAATTTCTCGCCAAAAATGGTAAAAATGAAAAACTTTCAGTCATAAAATCACTAGTACTCCCAACTATAACCCATCTGTTGACAGCTCTCCCAGACCCATCCCCTACCATTATCAAAGACATAGAAACCATGTTATTTAACTTTATATGGAATAATCGTAGAGACAAAATAAAAAGAACTATTTTGATGCAAAAGTACGAAGATGGAGGTTTAAATATGACAAATATAAAATCATATACTAAAAGTTTAAAAATATCATGGCTTCGACGTATTTTATTTAGTGATAGCAATTGGACAAAATTAATAAAACCAGCACTACCAAAAGATTTCTATTGCTTAGGAGCTGCAAAGTTGAACTTACACATACACAACCCCTTTTGGAAAAGCGTAATTGAAGCGTGGGCCGATTTCAACAACAAGCTAAATCCATCCACGATTGAAGACCTTGTAAATCAGCCGCTTTGGTACAATAGCAATATCAATATAAATTATATTTCACCTTGGCATAAAAAGGGTATTGTCTACCTAGGAGATATATATGACCTACGTGGGAATTTACTGACATGGAATGAGTTGAAACAAAAATATAATATAAAAGGAACATACTTAGATTATGAAAAACTATTAAGACAAATACCTAAAGAATGGATAAATAAATTAATAATCAAAGATCAACGATCAACATTACACGGCCCGGTGCACTCCACAGTAAAGATGCAGTTAATCAATAAAAAAGGATGCAGAAAATATTAAACGAAAACATTAAGAACAACATACTACAAGCAAAGTAAAATCACAGCAAAAGTGGAATAATCGAACTCCTTATCGCTCCCGGAAAGTTACAGAAAATTATTGGAAAAATCAATACAAAAATTAATAACCGCAAACTAGCGATAAAATGCTCAGAGTAGTTTCAAATACAAAATACTACATGGAATTTACCACAAATAAATTTTTAAAGATACTAAGGCGTAACTGATAGTGAACCTATGTACTTTTGCAATGAGAAAACGAAACGACTTTAGTTACTTACATTTAATAGCTACTGAACCATGGTCAAACTGTATGGAGGCTGTATGTATCTGGTTTGTAACAATGTGGTACCGACGATTAAATATTTAGAGGAAAATGAATATCACTAGGATTCATATCACGATATATAAATTAAAATCAAATATAAATAATTAAGAAAATTGTAATAATAATGTGAAACAATAAATTAAGCCCAACTTTGCAGGATGTGTAAGGCATATAACCAAACATATACATGAACATTGAAAAACTTATAGCAGCTCAACGACCTAAAAAGCAAGAACTAAATAAGATAAATGGATCAGGCATTAATCTCAATTCACATACAATAAAAAATTGTAATCAACTATAGCACCGATTTACTCATATTTGGATCTCTGCAGACATTGTCTTTGTGTCGGTACATAACAGTGATTAGTCATCAGCCGTTTTTGTTATAGTTTCCGTCTGGCATCATGAACTAAATCGAATGTTCCGTACATTTGCATGTATTGTTGAAATTCTGTAACGAACTGGGAAATACCTGTAAACACTTTTTTAATACATGTCAGGGTGTCAAATTGAAAAAAAATTCTTGGTACTCGGGTGGGCAGTACAAGATCAAATCTGGTATCCCACGAAATAATTCTGGTACTGGCACAGCAGATTTATCAACAGAGCACTCAGGTTCTAAGTATGCCGATAGATATACCGCCCACAATCTATGTCTGTTCTGAGATATTCAAAATGTAGATAAATTCCATTCATCCTATCAAGAGCAAAAAGCGTAATAAGATCAGACTACCTAACATAATAGTGGAGACACTACCAATATTCTATTTTATCTCACACACCAAAAACAGTTAATAGCACGCTCACAAACAGACATCTTTTCTTCTCAATAAATTCTTCTTCTTACTTCCTTCCTTACTTACGTTCTGCTTAAGTGTGGTGTCTTCTTCTTCCTTAAACTTCTTCTACCCTAATCTTTTATGCCTTCTAATACTATCTTTTTACATCGCTTCTCGAACTTCACTTCATCTCTCCACCTCTTCTCCNGCGGCACGGCAAGGCACAATCTATTACTATATATATTATCAGGGGTAAATAATCTCAAAGAGAGATTGGTTACACCCATAGAAACAATATACATATGCGTCTCAAGGACCTGCAGATGATATTTGACTGATTACAGAAGATCGTGAAGGCCTGCAGAAACTCACCTCCGAGTTAGCAAGTGCAGCTAGCAAAATCGGTCTGCGGATAAGCCAAGAGAAGACCAAGACAATGCGAGTCGGAAGTGTACAAGCAGCACCCAGTGGTGACAGTTAACCATCAACCTGCTGAGGATGTAGAAGAGTTCATGCATCTAGCTTGGCAGTAAAATTTCGAACACTGGAGATGCAGAAGTTGATTTACGCTGCAGAATCGGCAAAGCGTCGGCTGTATTCCAACAAATGTGCCAAATCTGGTCTGCAGCATCAATCAATGATACAATGAAAATCCGTCTCTACGAAACAATTGTCCTGCCAACTGCAATCTATGCTAGTGAAACCTGGAAGTCCACTGCAAGAACTTCGCAAAAACTAAATGTGTTTCACCAGAGATGTCTACGAAGCATCCTCAAAATTACCTACCGAGACCGAATCAGAAACGAAGAAGTCCTGCGTAGAGCCAAATCCCAACCTCTGGCCGACATTGTCAAAATACGAAGACTTACGCTTTGCTGGGCATGTTCTGCGAATGTCAGAAGAACGACACCCAAGAACTGCCATGTACTGGGAACCAGCAAGAGGAAAAAGGAAACGTTGAATGTGCAAAACCTGGCGGAGCACATTCAAAGAAGATCTACAAAACCTAGGCGTTTCTTGGAATGGAGTAGCAAGAGTTGCAGTCGATCGAAAACGCTGGAGAACAGTTGTCGCCCAATGTTCTAATAGGAAGAGGAGGACCTAAGTCTAATTCAATAAAACGACCGATATACGCATCCATTGTGAATAACACGGAAGATGCTGATCGCTGGACGTTTAAACGAATGACACGCGTTGACTCCGTTGACACAAGTGAAATTAGATAAGGGGCCATAATTGCAACGCGGAAAAAGCAGCAGCTGTCCCGGTTCACACGAATTACCTATTTAAACCGATCGCCGCCGAACGTAGCCCTCATATCGATAGTCATGAGTATTCTTCTGCTTTTCGCTGTTATCCTGCTAGCGGGAGGCGCGAGAGCTGGCTACTGCCCCTCCGCCTCCAGCCTCTATCCTTGCATCTGCTCAGAGTATAGTACTGGCGCGTACATCTGGTGCGATGTTAGCTTACTACCTGGAGACGGTTCGCAAGTGTTTGACATCATCGCTGGGATTCCACGACCGACGACGATCTACGAGTTCAGAATAAGCTACTTCGGCTTTGAGCAGATACCCGGTAGAGCGTTCGCCGGCTTAACCATCAAAAGAGTGTATCTGACGTACGGAGAAAAGCTGACCACTATACACGCAGACGCATTCGCTGGAATCGGAGGGCTTCGTTCCTTGCTCTTACAGGATACGGCGTTGTCCGCAATTCCATGCCGGATTTTCCCAACTATTCCAGGCTTGGGTATGTTTTCTGCTTTTTTCCTCCTATGCCAGGCTTGAGTATATTTGTATCCGTCTATGCCAGACTTTTACGCTTTCATGGTGTCATGAGCGTTCGCACTGCGCTCGATTCTAATTTACCGTCCTCTGTTTGTCTTCAGAATATCTGGAAATAACATACAGCTCCCTTGAGACATTAGACGACGGTTGCTTTATGGACGCTAGCAATCTGGCTGTGCTAGTTTTGAGCCATAACGCGATTGTCTACATCTCCCCTCAGGCGCTGCGGGGTCTGAAGAAACTCAAGGTAAATCCTATCCCTAAAGTCCTGCTGTGGATATACCCGGTAGAGACAGTGGATATCTATATCCCATATATATACATGTGCGTGCGTGTGCGTGTGCGTGTGTGTGTGTGTGTGTGTGTGTGTGTGTATGGTGCGTTTGAGTTCGTGGCGCGTGCGCTTGCCTGTGGGCGTGTGTGCGTACGTGCGTGCGTGCGTGCGTGTGTGTGTGTGTATGTGTGCGTTTGAGTTCGTGCGCGCGTGCGTCTGTGCGTGCGGGCGTGTGTGCGTACGTGCGTGCAAGCGTGCGTGAGTGAGTGGATGCATACGCACGTGCGTATGTATACATTTATTTGTTTTTTATTTAATTTTTAATAATTGATTGTTTTTATTTATTTATTGATTCATTTATTTATTTACGCTTCCACAGACCCTCGAGTTGTCAAATAATGTCATCGAGCACATTGTACCGGGAACATTCAAAGATATAAAACTCACAAGACTACAGCTCAACAACAACCATCTGTACACGGTCTCAGCAGGAACCTATGCCGGCCTCAAGAGACTTGTTACCATACACCTTCAAAACAACCGGATTTCGAGCGTTGCTGTTGGAGCCTTTGAGGGCGCAGCGGTAGCATCTACAGTTGACATATCTTACAACAACCTCGTCACCATCGCAGCTGGCACCTTCAGAGGACTGAGTAGGGTGAGGGTACGTTCAGACACCCGTAGTCGAGTCAATGATACGTGGTATTGCAAGAGCGTAAACACAGCCGAAAAGCATTATTAACTCTTTGTAGATGCTTATTATCAAGAGCGTATAAAGAAGGCCTTCTTTAAGAAAGAATGCCTTTTTTTATAAAGAAGACCTTCTTTATACGCTCTTGTTATTATTCGAGTTACTGCCGTGGTTGTATGTCGAAGATAGTCTAGTAACGTCACCACATCGACTTAGTCATTAATCTTATATATTCCATATTGTTTGCCTGTATATTATATTGCACCATTCTGTCAATCAGATCATTGTTAATTTTTTATTACATTTTCACATCAGGAATTATTTATCAATTTTAATGAAGTAAGCTTCATCGAACCTGGCGCTTTCTATGGGTTGCCAAGGATCAACTATATTGGTTTGTGGAACAACGAGCGCTTGACATCTATCGACAATGACGTGTTTAATGTGACTGAGCTCATATCCACAGATGGAGTAAGCGTTAACCTAAATGGCAAGTGTGGTCGTTCTTTGTTATTAGCATTCTGTTTATTTATTAAATGTGGTTTGTTTTGTCACACTTCGTGTATTAATTGTAACTTTATACGCGTGCACGTATCGTCACGTACGCAGCAATCGTCCGCAGCGAAGGACTACGTGGGTGGAACTACCTGTAAAGCTGCATGCTATGTGCATTCTGCGAGCTTAAAAAGCTCACACTTACACTGTAATTTGCATTACAGGTTGCAAATTGGATTGCCAATGTGACATTGACTGGCTTAACGAGGCTCCATTTACTACTTGGAATGCCTATTGCGCAACTCCACCGGAACTGTCCACAATGGCACTGAAGTCTTTAAAATGCGTGAATGGGGTGATGGTTCCTATATAGGTTACCGAAATAGTTGACGGATGTATTTTATTATGTGTAAATGCACAGAACATAATTTTAAAAAATTACAGCGAGTAATATACAAAGTGAAGGTATTATATGCAGTTGTAGATTTATGCTTCGGGACTTAATTTGAAAAGGAAAANATTTGGCACGTGCCGTAGGTATGTAAAATTTTGAAATATTTAAGCCATTTCCCTGCAATCTGTATTAAAGAGGCATACTGTGAGATATAAAAGCTGGGCTTTGCGTCAAACATCTACCTGCTCACACCTCTACCCGCGGTGTGTGCGTCTCACCCGTGCGGAATAGATAATAGGGCGACGATATAAAAGCTGGGCTTTGCGGGATTGCGATGTCATTACGTGCGACGATGTCCCGCGTTGATCCGCTAATGTGACCTCCCACGTACACGGCGTGGGTGTAGCGCGGTGGGGGCACGCTAGTGTACTATATAATAATAATGATAAATAATGATGATGATGATGATGATGATGATGATGTTAATAATAATAATAATAATAATGATGAGGATGATGAGGATGATGATGATGATGATAATGATGATGATGATGATAATAATAATAATAATAATAATAATAATAATGATGATGATGATGATGATGATGATGATGATGATGATGATGATGATATGACGATG